CTTTTTATACGGTTATTTAATGCTTTAAGTTGAAGAATAAAACTCTTGTGCGCGTGTGAGCGAATTCAAGCACATTTGGAAGTCAACGCCATCGATTCTTTTTTACTAATTGTCTTTCTTGGCTGGAAGGTTGGTGCCATGTGACACCCATCGCGCAGCGGCACACAAAAAGGAGGGTGCCATCGCGGCTCCCTCTGCCTCGGGCTTTGTTTCTCTCCCCATCGCGTCCTCGGACACTCCTCATTGGCCGCGGCTCGCGCCCTCCTCTTTACTCTTACGTTTAAGGGAAGGTCGTGCCAACTGCTCCAATGCTTCCCGGATAAGAAATACGGCCGAGCGCGGTAATTGAAACGTAATAACCATGTTTACGACATGTAGGTAAGGGTGTGCCCGTGATTACCGCATAAAGCGTAATCATTGTGACTTTAGAGGTGATTATAACCCCATGAGTGCATTTCCATGAGGAAAGTTCAGTTACTTCAGCCAACCCCCCTATCCACATGATTTTACAAAGTTTTGTAAACCTCATGTACAAGTTCATGCTGTGCAACCATAAACATCTATAATCTGATATCCAGACCCTCATTCATACTGCATCTTGACCACAAACACACTTATTTTTTTCCTTTTGGTGTAAACTCTCGCGACTTTCTCCGCGCCTGTTAAACCGACTTCATTCGTCCCTTTCATTTGAAAACTTTACAGCTTCTCTTTTCTCTCACTCCTATTTTCACCTCTCTCTCTCTCTCCAACCCCTTGTTTTTGGTAACAGATAAATATCAGGAAATATTAGATGCACCAGATCACCCCTCTTCCTCCCTCACGCCTTCTTTCCCTCCGAACTCACCCCCCTTTCTCCATGACCCCTTTCACCCCCCCCCCCAGCACGCCCCGTCCCATCTCATTTTGTTCTCCCACTTGTTCCCATCCTGAACCAAAACAGCTGGAAGACAACATTTTTTTTATGTGACTCTTCTCTCCCTCCCCCCTTTTTTTCTCTTCTAATAGCACGAAAATTGTTGTGTCTTCTCGAAGCATAATTCCCAAAGTGTCACCGGCAAGATGTACGGGGTGACTTGATGCGCAGAGTTCGTAATAACGCTCTGGGGATTAAGTGTACAGAGGCTTTATGCATTCGATCCCTCAAACTGTCAACGTCTTGGCGAAGGTTCACTTGCTTTTTGGCGTTTCAATAATGTCTTGCCTCCGAGACGAATACATTGCATAACATTTCGGAGTCACTGGGATGCAAATTTTAAAGAGCTTCCTTTGTAAAATACTTCAAGGGCTGCGCAGTCATATCAAATAGGGAGAAAAATGATAATACAGAAGAAAATGCACAGGCGAAAAAGTTCCGAGATAATAATGCTTCACATCAATCGTTCATGAAATCCAGCTCCCTTAGTGAAAGGATCCATCCCGCCTCAACCCCATGTGTGGCGGATCGTATGGACGCGGCAAAAACATCATCTACGCATAAAATGAGGTAGTTGATACGCGCGTGGTGTTGCGCACCATATACGAGGATGTTTTGTGTCTTTTTCCTTGCATTTGTACAACGGAAGAAAGAAATTAATAGGCCTAATGAAGCCTGTCTTTCATTCGGTTCTTTTGGTATCGTTCTTCTTTCCACCACATAGAAAAAAAAGGGAGACGAAGAAAAAAAGAAATACCATAGACGTCAAAACCAAACACATTTATATCCCACGTCGCTCTGTTCAGATTAAGGCGTGGGATCCTTTTCAGTCCCATCTGAATACGATCTGAATCCATCCCTTTTGGTCCGGATCAAAAGTCACTTATAATGAATGATCTATGGAGGGAAAGGGTTGGAACATGCGTGGTCGACGGCAGCGTGGCGGCGGCAAAGAGGGGGAGGAGGAAGGAGAGAGGGGGAGAAGAAGGAGAGTGGGGGAAAGGGAGGAGAGTGGAGGAAAAAGGAGAGTTGGGGAGAAGGGGGCGGGCACGGTCGGCAAGGGACGGGGTTGAGGGGAAGCATGAGAGAAAAGATGGTTGGTTAGACACCGAAGCGAATGAAAGAAGTTTAAAAAAGCTAGGGGAGATGAGCGTAATAAGTAGATTAGTGATACACCATTTTATCTTTTAAAAATGTACACGAAACAAAAAATAACCACAACCAATGACTAAAAAATTAACGTAGAAAGACCGTTTCTCCTCTCCCCTTACTTATAACCTCCCTTTTTTTCTTTCTTCGTATATATCTTCAAAAGCGGCAAATTCAGATCACTAGACTGCCATTTAGTCACCAAAATAATCCACTATCTGCCGTTATGATCAGCATCTACGGTAATGCTCATCTTTCTGCCGGGAGAACCTGGCAGTTGTCACATGCCTCAGTGCCCGGACGCGGCGGGCGTGGGGGAGGAGCAGGGGGAGGGAGGGGAGGGCTAGCAGAAGAAGATAAAGAGTGCGAGGGAACAAGGAAGAAAGGGGTGAGAAAAACTCCCTGGTTGACGTAGAAAAAAAGGCAAATGAAGAG